GCTCGTCTCGTGCTACACATCAAAAGAAATATAGTAAGTTATTCTTCCCAAGAACGAATGAGGTGTTGTGTCAGCTCAGAATTTCTCCCTCACGCCTGTCTATATAGTTGTAGCTACCGTGAGATAATTTTCTTCTGCTTCAGCTGCTTTGCTGTCTTAGATGGCCGAGAAGTTACAGCGGCTGCCGTGGAAGTGATTAACCGCTTCCAGCCAGCGTAATGGTTACATCTGTTGGCACAAAGCTACCCTAGCGATTGTCAGTACAAAAGCTTACCATTTAGGTTTCCTTAAATAAATCAATCCTCTTCCCTGTGAAATGTACTATTATATTCTAAATGCTTTATGAAATATATATGCATCTTTCACAGTGTTCTGTTAGTGTTCTCTGTAAATATTTTGGCAGTTGGAACAGCGTAACACTGGGGTAATGCAGTCAGATCATAGTGAAAGGATACAAGGTGTACTGCATGGGAAACAATAGGCTGTCAAAAATATATTGTACATCCATTTGAAATGTACCGGTGAAATTTTTGTCATTTTTACTTTATGTCTTTATAAAAAAAAATCTTTAGAGGAATTCAGTGAACCTTTTTTTTTCATGTATTCTCTGTTCCTTATGTATTGAAGTTTATTCTATACACAATAGTTTACCCTTGTGATATTTCCTATTATCCTTTATGTTTTCTTTTTATTGTAAACTCTGCATAATTGTACATTTTTATAAATTAAATTATATAGTCTTCAGTTTTGGCTGAAGCTAGCTTTGTGGTCTATATGTAAGCTGTAGGGAACACCGTATTCTGCCACTATTTTTGTTATATTCTTTCTTAGATCTCCAGACAATTCCTTTCGATTTAAATTGAAGATTTTTATAATTGTTTCAACTTGTAATTACTTTCAGCAGAAGGCATATTAGAAAATTTGAATCCTGATCTTAGCAAGTCTTGCCGCTGTTTTATTTTTAACAACATTTTTTCCAATAAGTAGTCTGCAGCTGTGAAAACATCAGTAAAGTTTAATGTCATAATATATTTGGTCATCCATAAATCCTGACGTTTGCACTGTGTGAATTTTTTTAATCGTATTTTGTTATTAAAAGGACTCTATCAGCCTCTGTTGTTTATAGTAGTCCTCTGAAAGTTTTCCATCCATATAGGTTTTATCTTTTGTATTTGACATATCTGCATATTTCTCTTTTGAATGTAGTTGAAATTAGTGTTACTATTTTTATTTCCTCATTTGTTTGACAACAAAAGAAATATGACTAAAAATATCAATTACTGATTTTAACTTCCCATTGTGGGAGCGGACGTGTGGGGCCTTTTTAAAACACACAGGAACTGCAAATGCATTTCTGCTTCTGCCTTAACTATTTATGTAGACAGCTTCAAGATTTTCTGCTTCTGCTGAAGTATTTGACAGCTTGATAACAAAATGTGTATAATAATACAAATAACAGACTGTGTTGCTGGTGTGGGTTTGTTGTTTTTTTTTTTTTTTTTTTTTTTTTTGTTGTTGTTTTTTTTTCTTTCCCATTTTGATTAAAGTTGTAACTGATATGCAACATTCTTTCAGGGTACATCTGTACTGCTGTCAGCAGTATCACTCAGACAGAGGTAGCTGAGCTAGCTTTAAATGAACTAGCTCAGATTCTGGAAACTATCTAGCTGTGGCAGCATAGTTCAGTCCAGTCTAATTTCCCTGATGGGGTGAGTGCAGGAGGATCTTGGGTTCCTTACACTTAGAGTATTTGCTATATTTTAAGAGAGCTGGTACGCTATTCCTTTGTGAGTTTATTTTTGAAAGTCATAATTTTGCAAAGCATGGTGTTGTATTGTCAAACAAATATGAATAGTAACATCTTCAGCCACTGCAGAGGACTCATCCCTCTCCCTTGCGGAGACAAGCTTATTTTCCTTCAAGAACACTGTTGCTAATTTCCATTGCTGTGTTTCAAAGTTTTGCCACTCTGGAAAGGCCCTCACCAAAACTGCAGGTAGTAGGGCATTTTTTTTTCTAGCCAGGGATGACCTGCTTGGGGCTTGGGTTTTTAAGAGGATTCTTCTCCGTGCTCCCCAAACACAGAGATTTTTTGCAATTTGCTGTTTAACTATATTGCTCTTTTGCTAATATTTTCTGCTTCATGGTGGTTTGTGAACACTGGCCAAGAGATTCAAGGAATATCTTGCTCTTTTGTTTTAGAATATCTGATTTGGTATTTTGATTGGATGCTGTTGACAGGGGGTGCCCAAAGCATTTGGAGTAATGTATTGAATAGCCAGGAACATATTATACGTTCAGAATAGCTAAAAATTCTTTGAAGGAAAATAAACCAGTAACAAATAGTTGTCTAACAGTGGTTTGTGTTTAAATAGGTTAAGTCTCCTGCTGGGAGTGTGTATTGGTAGGATTGGTTTCCTTTCTTTTTTTTCCCCAACACATGAGGATAGTGTTACTAGAATTAACTCACCTTAGATTACCTCAGTCAGTTATTACAGTTAACAGTAAAATGAACATTCTTTGTCATCAGTGAACATGTATATAAAATAACTTCTTTTTGAATTTTCAGTGGTGATTAAAGACAGCAATCAAAAGACAAAATAGTATTCAATCAAAATAATTATGAGATTTTAGTCATGTGTGTGTGGAGGTTCTGCCCAAACAGAAACTTTCCACAAATAATGGGATTGTTCAAGTGATTAATGAACTTTCAGTACTTTAAAAAATTACATAAACATTGATAATTTACAAAAATAATTTTCTAAATTATGTACTTTCTCTCCCACAATTTCTCATTCAGAACAGTATTTCTTATTACCTGACACTTGTGCTTGTTGTAGGGACAGTGGTGCCACAAATCCATCCTTATCATGAACAGTAACAAAGATAGTAATGCATTGGTGGGAGGTGTTGCTGCTGGGAATTTCGTTACAGACTAGGTGGTGAACCAGGAAATGAACACCTTGCCATGTAAACGGTCAGAGTTTGATTTGTAGATTACAGAGCTTTATCTGCAATACCGAGTTACAACAGCTTGAATATCTCTTCGATTTAAACTGCAAACTTTAGTTGGTTAAAGAATATGGTTCTAATGCTAGAGGACCTTTAAAGGTGTTGAAAGAGATTATAGGTGACTGAGTGCAATGCACCTGGAGTTATTCTTAAATTAATTTTTCTAATCTTACATAGTTTATACATTGCTGTAATGCCACGCTACATACTAAGACTTCAGCAAATTTTCCCGGAGGTCCTTCTCGCTGTGTTTGTAATTCAGAGAATGAGATGAGCCTTAGCATCAGCCTGTTAAAGTGTGCTGGGCCTGTTGATACGATGTAGGATAGAAAGCTCCATGCTGTAGTAAGCCAGCTACATACTGGAGGCAGGAAGAAATTCCTTTTTGGACAAGCATTTTCTGACATGATGGATGTTGCCCGAGTGAGGAATTAGTTTGGACAAGATTCTTGCGAATTCAGGTAAAAAGTTGCTTTCCAGAATGTTCAACTTTTTGCCTACTAACATCTTATGCTGTAAGGAACAGGTAAGCAGTGGAGGGGGGGGGGGGCGGGAAAGACTTTTGATGATGCACCTTTATTTACAGGGCTGCTGCTGTGATCTTGAACAGTGGAGGAGTGTTGTACAGGTTATGGGAAGGTCTTTGTTCTTATTCAGACCTGGCCTGTAACCACACAGGAGAAGCTGGAAGATAGCTTGATGAGAAGAAAACACTATGCCTTGAACTTCCTTATGTGTTTTCTTCTGATACAGTGCTAAATTGCTCATGCTATACTAAGTCCATCTGGGGTGTTAATTCAGTTTCCAAAACATAACTATCAGTTATTTTAATTCAGTTCTCACTGCTTGTAAAGAATCCCTTGTTCAACAGATTTCTAATACCAATGATTACTTAAGGAAAGCATTCATATTTTTCCTAATTATTAAAAAATATCTTTCAATAATTGTGTAATATTAGCATGTTGAGCTATTAGTACTATTTTTTTTCCTAGCTAGGGCATACAGTTTCAATTATATCAACTTTACTTACTGTAGGAGTACTTTTTATAGTATAAATTATTGCTAATAACACAAAAGCAAATTGATGTTATGCTCTTATGTGAAGGAAGCCTTCATTTACTTCATTCCTGTTCTGATGAGGTACTGTATCTGAGGCTAACTTCTTTAAAGTTGGAAACAATGATTTTTCATATTAAAGTACATGGGAAAGTACTCTAGTACTTAATTAGGGGGGAAAAACTAGTCTATCCACTGAATGTTCTTCGTTGCTTTCAGTCTTGTTTCATCAATCTTGAATGTTGTAATTCAGCTGGTCCCAGAATTTTAAGAATATCTTGCAGTTTGGCAGCAGCAGGGGGAGTAGTGTACCTTTATATGGGGGCTCTCCTTGGCCAATGCAGGAGTTGGTTGATTATTAGCCCAGAACAATTCTGTTCAGGCTCAAAAATCAGCTCACGTTAAGAAATCTTCCACTTTTCTCTCTCGATGTGAGCTAGAGATGTCATTCTACAAGCTTTGCCTTGCTGCACTTTTGTAAAGCTCAAGTCCCACAGATGTAGAAGTGTACCTGCTACTGGTAAATTGTGATCCGGTTTTTGTGTCCTGGTACAGAAGCAGGTCAGGAGGCTGGAAGGGATCTGTGGGACATGAGCTGGTTCAGCTGCCTGCTCAGAGCTGGGCCAGCACTGAATGCAGGCCAGGGCTTTGTCCAGTTCAGCCTGGAAAACCTGCAAGGGTGGACATCCTTGCACCTTTCTGGGTAACCTATTCTAATGCTTAATTATCTTCATAGTGAAATATTTTTCCTTATGCTGTCCCATGCTAATATATTGTAGGTGCCTTCTAACTTAAACTATTCTATTCTATTCTATTCTATTCTATTCTATTCTATTCTATTCTATTCTATTCTATTCTATTCTATTCTATTCTATTCTATTCTATTCTATTCTATTCTATTCTATTCTATTCTATTCTATTCTATTCTAGACCAGACAAGACCAGACCAGACCAGACCAGACCATTGTCCCTTGTTCCCCTGCCATTCACCTCTGTAAGGAGTCTGCATCATCTCACATTTTATAATGTGCTTTGATACCTCACTTTGCTGCCTATGTATTCTGTTGTAAAACAAGGTTTTTTTCCTACTGTTTTATTTATATCATACATTTCTTATTGAAGCCTCTGGTCAAATGTTTTTGGTCAGTGATACCCACTACAGAAAATATCATCAAATGTTTCTATTTTTTGTAAGACCGTTGCATTGTTGATTCATTCTCAGTTTGTTATCACCTATAACATGTACATCCTTGTATTTCCTACAAGGAACTGCCTTCTGTATTACAAATATACTGACCTTCCCTGAACAGTAGTGTCAGACCCTTGTATGTGTATCATGGTGTTGCAGCAAACATCTTGGACTTTTTTTTTCATTAGGGAAGGAGTCAGCATAGACAGTAAATTTGAAAATGCAATCAAGTACAGGTTAGAGAGCAAATAGCATGATAATGTGTATGTATACTAATAATATCTTAAGCAGAAACTGATTTTAAAATTTAATTTGTGTGCAATCTAATATCATGATGGTCAAATCTAGATTCATGAATTTTTTTGCACCTTTATATTTCTATTGTTTTTACTTGGAAGTTAATTTAATCTTGTGCTGCACATAATATGTCACTATGTTCCCACATGAATTTAAGATAAAAAATACTATTTTCCATGTATCTGCCTAGCTTTTCTCTACTGAAAGTGTGTTAGAGTATTGTGTTGCTGCCACATAATTATAGCTGTGTTACATTTTTGGCATTTGTTGAACTAATTCCTTGCATACTTCCTCAAAATAAAAATGTTATTTAAATAAGTTACTGGCATAATAAAATAAACCTTTAAAAATTGTATTCCTATATACATATGTGTGTGTAGGAAGAAGACCAAGATCAGGATGCCATAGGTGGAAAGAATATTATTAATCGGAGGTTTCTTTCTCTTTCCCAAGTTACTGCTTTGTCAGAAGAAAATGTAGAAGGAGTTCAAAAGTAAGTGACAGTGATAACAATGCTAGAACCAATATAATAATGAAATAAAAGTTATAGACCATTTGTTAGATTTTTTTTTGTGATGATTACATCATTAGTCTTTAATTGTTCAATTAAATCATTGATATTTGATATGATTAATGAAAATCAAGAAGTACTGTTGATCTCAGATCCACTTTGTTTTACTGTATTACCTATATCTCTTGATTTTTCTTCAACTCTTTTTTTCCACTGATATTTCACATTGAGATGGTTTTGAGTTTACCATAGTATTAAATACAATGTAAATGAAATAGTAAGTTATAAATATGAACAGGCCAATATTGAGCTTTTTTTAAAGTCTCACTCGTTAACTTTTTTGCTAAAACATTTAAGATTCCGTACTATAACATGAGTTATTGAAAAGCTTTTAAAAGTTCAGAAAGGGATGGAAAGCTTAAGGAGGTATTAGTAGGTAGCCATTATGGTGCACTGGGGAAATAGGAGGCAGCCAAAGACTTCTGATGTAAGCCCATATTGTCTTTCCTGTAGGAACACTCTCCCTTGTTATTAGTGCTTAATAGCAGCTAAATTTAGGAGGCCAGGAGTTCAGTCTGAGACTCTAGACTTGTATTTCAAGTATGGGATTTTTCAGAAGTGCCCAAATTATTTAGGAGCACTTGTGTCTACTAGCAAAGTGTCAGTGAATTCAAAGCCAAAGGGCTGACCCACTGGACTAGGTGGTGGGGCAGGCGGGCTGAGGGGAGAGGAATAAAAAAATCCAACCTTGTCCCTCTGAATAGATAAACCATTTAATAGAGAATAAAAAATTATTCCTGAAATACATTCTGTTCCTCCTATCTGTCACTGTTCTGATGAGGGGAAAAAAAAAAAAAAAAAGGATCTTTCTGGGATTTTTTTTTTTAAGAAAACTGGAAAGAAAATTTGTTCACATTGAATAATAATAAAAAAATTTATTTCATTTTCTGTTTTGTCTTGCATGATAGGCCTCTAAAATAAGAGGAGACTGAAGCGTACAGCTCACTAGAGACTAAAATGTACTTAATGATGCAATTTATTGTGAAACTTTCTCATTAAGATTAATAAGAAAAGTATTGAAAGATTGTATGTTTCTTTTTAGTCTCAGCTGATCACCTATGTATTTATATATATATATATATATATATACACAAGTGGATTGTAAAGTATATACTGCATCTGACTGAAAAGAGGATAGTTAGGATATTTTATGCACTCTAAGCAGTTTAGCAGCAGCACTGAAATTTGGTTAATTTACCACAGTGCATCATGTCTATACACAAGAGCAGTTTGAAGGCCACAGCTAAGATTAGAAAATCAGAATGCATCTGACTCAGTGTGAGAATTTTGATGACCTGCGGATGGAGTTTTATACAGCTGTCCATCTCAGTAGGACTTGAGAGCACCTTCTGTGAAGGAAGAAATAGCAATCAGGGTAACAAAGAAATCTAAATGCCCCATCATTTCCCAATCATTTATAGATACTGTTGTCAGTGACATGCCTTACAGAATATTGAAAAGATGAGTACTGGCATTGTTAGCAGCATCAGAGAAAATCTAAATCCCTGAGAAGTTCTGATTATGAAAACGCAGAGTTGGCAGAAGCTTCAGAAAGAGAGGATATGGACTGTTTCAAACCTTGGAAAGTTCAGCTGGCCATGTTCCACTTCTATTTCAGTACACAGTTAAGTGTTTTTAACCGACTTGCATGTGTGCAGCCATACAAATTTGTCATGCGGGACAAAGGAATACGTGTTTTAAACAAAACTGATTGGATTATATGCTTTACTTTGTTAGCTATTGAGGGTTTAATTAAAAAAAAAGAGACTCATCTTATTTGACAGTGTATCTCTACTGACTTGGGGAAAACCCTGAAAAACTAATGGTTGGCTATGAGTAGGTCTGAGATGAATGCACTTCTTAAGAAGGAATGAGAAGCAAGGGTGGGAAAAAAAGATTTTTGTCTTTTACAGGGGACTAGAAACTGTGATCACAACTGGCACCTGTATCGACAGGTGTAGTTCAGAAGACAAGGATTGCTTTAATGTAACACTGAACTGCTTGAGCATGGCTGAAATTATATTGGAAGAAATGCAAACTGAAGTCCTAGCCCTGATCCCCCCTCTTCATATGGAAAAATGTGCACAATTATTATAGAAGACATAACTAATTCTATGTTTGGATAGAGTAGACATAAATGTGTCAGCAACAGCGTGGTCTCCTTCAAGGGAGTGTATTTTTTCATTAATTTTTCAAGTTAAAGTAAGTGGAAAAATTTCCAGAGTGTGCCAGTAAAGTAGGATGAGGCTCTTAAAGGTCTTGACCATTATGAAAGTGGAGTTTAAAGTTCTTAATATTTTAGGTACTTTCAGTAATTTTATACTGTATTATTTACATTAATTTTCAAATGTAACTTTTCTTCAGAGGCTACATGAAACATAATCTTAAAAGGGAAGCAAGATCTTTTTATTACTGTAAAACTATCTCAATCTGAATGAAAGAGTGGTAGTAGAAAATGGAGACTAATTGTTCATTTTTATCCTACAAACCCCTTCCTGAACAAACACTGATTTTTCTCTGGGATTTTCAGTGTATTTCTATTTGTTTTTTGTAATGATCCTATTTTTGTTATTTCATTAATCATATCTTAATATTTAAATAGTGTCTGTGGATAGCTGTAGTTGTTTGTTTACTTTTTTTAGTTGATATGTCTGCTGATCATAACCATTCATATCTAGAAATTGATGTAGCTAAATTCCAGGAAGATATATACATATATTTATATAATATAGTAGCAAATTTTATAGATATAATTACAAGCAGAGTAAGTTAAACTTTGGAATCTGTAATTTATTTTTTAGTTTTATGATGTTACTCTGCAATTTCTTCTAGAAAACTTGAAGAATTTCTAGATTTTAAACAATTAAAGACATCTTTGAAAGAAGCTGTTTTGCTAGACTATTATACTGCAGGATTTTGGTGGGCTAAAGAAATGAACTTCAGTCTTATACAGCTCTCAGGATTCATGGATCTATTAAATTTCCTGTTGGAGAACCTCAGTGGTAAGTATAATTAAAAACTGTAAAATAAGTATCTGAAGTGGAAGGCAGGAATGTTTTCCAGTCATTTTAATAGAGTGATATTTAATTACAAGTAATTGTAAAATGATTTCTTTTCCTCTTGAATGTTGGCATGTTATACCTTGTACCTGAAAATAATTCTTATTGGCAGATGTTAAACTTTTGTTATAGTGAACTGTAGTCTTTTTAGCAGAATATCCCTCATTCTTTGTATGTACAGTATGTGGTACAAAAGGACCAGGTCCTGAAGAGACCTCGTCTTTGCTATGGCAAAATAAATAATAATTACAGTAGAGTAAGAGCAAGGAGCTCCTAAATTCCAATTCCAGCTCAGTGACTGACTCACTGTAGCCTTGGGCACATTTCTCTGCTGTTTGAGATATTCAGTATATCCTGTAGCATTACAGCAGGTGAGTTACATTTTTTTTATCCTTGGAGGTCAACTCTTAGGCAGATTTCTATATGGCAAATGCTGCACTTTTGGCGCAAAATATATCAGTTAACAAAAGACTGGTGAGGGAAGTAATCTGGCATCACTGCTGAAGATGAAAAATGACAATGAAAGGACTGCAGCTCCTGTGGCTACAAGGAAATTTGCAACAAAGCATGTAGCTTGGGTCTGGTGGGAACAAAATAGCCAGAAAAAAATGGTAGCAGCATCTTCTAAAACCCATTTTTCAGAAAGCACAATGCTTACTTAACGTTCACTTTGAAGGTGATTATGTCAAGAAAAGTCCATCCCAGAGGAAGAACGAAAGGACTCAGCAGTTCCATTCAAAGAGAAGATGAATATTTAAAATCAAGCTCATAATAGTTATTATACTCTTTCATTGTAATTTAATTCAAGGGCTTTTCTGACTTGGAATTTTGACAGAATATGTACGTGCTTTATGATCATTGGAATTCCAGTTGTCCTTCCTGTCTCCAATGAGAAAGTATCTTAACATGTGCTAACTATATTAATATAACAATGGAGAAGAATGGAAACATGTCAGAAATTAGTTTTATGAGACTGTATGTAATGCATGTGTACTAGACAGGCTGGTAGCACAACCAATTATTAAAGCTGGCTGACGTTTTTCAGGAATGTGATCGTAGTTGCATAAAGCTTTTCCAAACTTTAACTCTTTAAGCTGAAATTTTCCATGGCAGTGTCTGCCTCTGATTAATTTTTATATATAAAATTACAACTAAAACAGTTCAATGGGCTTGCAGACAGAGTCTGTGGAAAAAAAAAAAAAAAGTATTATTTTGTGCCTTTTTCTTTTTTCAAACAGTTCTAATACCCCTATGCTTTGAAGTAAAGACATAAGGTTTGGCAAGCAAGTATTGTGAATTTGCTTTTTGCTGTCCTGTGAAAATCCATTCAGATTTGGCTAAGATACATGGCTTTTAGGGAAAGAAAATTCCGTTTGTAAATGCTTACAGGAGGCTTCTTATGTTTTCTTCACAGCTAAGTTCCCCGAATAATCCATCTTATAAAGTATGCTGTAGCCCAGGGCTGAGATGAATTTCCTTGTAATTACTGTTCTCAGCTGGTGCTAGTTCCAAGACCAAACATTTCAACTAAGAGCAAAATCTTCTATATTAAAAAAAGCAAAGTCTTCTATATTAATGACCATTTGCTTTCCTTTCCCTATGCTGGACCCAAGCAGCCTGGAGAATTAAGCTGATTTGACCATAACAGCAAGAATAGCATGGAGCAGGAAGAATGGATTTAGAGCAGGAGACTAGTGGAAACTCATTCAGGGCTGGTAAATGAGAGAGGAAAACTGAGGTTTGGAAAAATGGAGGTTTTGGTTGTTTGAGAGCCAGAATGAATTACTTACATGGTTTGATTCATCGTCTGTACATTGAGGGTGAAGTGCTCCTTACCTCACAGGACTGTGAGAGAGCCTTCTTGAGAGATGTAGCTAGGACTGAAAATCAGATGTGCAGAGGAAAGAGAAAATTTGGACTAGCTGGCAACAGACCTGGGCCTGGGTGTTGTGATTTCTCATGATCTTGTTATGTTGCTCCACTTCCCTGGTAACTGTGATATGTCTAGTTCTATTACTCTTTCTTATTTCCCATGGCTTCTATTTCTTCCACATTCTCTGTGTTTCTTTCTTTTTTCTTCCATTATGGTTATTTATATTGTGCTGCCTCTGTTACTGAAAACTGAGGTGAAATTTTCAAGGTTTTGATTGCTATACCACTAAAGGGCAAAACTATAAAGACCAGAACCTTGTAAGTTTTCTAATTTCTTTTCTGTACAAAGAACCAAGGAGTGTATCAGTAGAGAATTAAAACAATAAGGAAAATAAATCTGTTTCACCACTGGTAGATATTTCCCCCTTTTCTACCCTAGATTTTTTAGACTTAGAAAGTAAATTGTGTTTAAAACTTTTTTTGAAACTCTACCATTGTTCTAGTGATGGCACACACTGTATACAAATCAGAAAGATGAATCCTTTCTTTTTAAAGGTTCAGCAAACACTGATATATTTCAGATTTTCCTCTTCATCAAGACAATTAGCAAAAAGTATTTAAGTTTTAATTCAAAACTGGTTTGACATCTGGTTTTGATTTCCACTGTAAAAATGTAAAGTAATTGTCTATTTTGGGGGGGGTGCAAAAATGTCTCCAAGTTTGCTGACACATGCAGAGTATTATGGATATTCATGTTTAATCAATTATAACTGTAAGCATTTTAAAAAAAAAATGGTTACCCTTTTTAATATCCATTCCTGTATTAATGGTTTATGTTGCAAGGGGCATGGTCAGAAGAGCAATTTTTTACAATACATAAACAGTAGTAAATTTATTTTAAATATAAACATACTATGCATCTCAAATTTACATACAATTCTGCCTGTGGTCATCCCTGCATAAGAGGCCAAGCTGTAGTATCTTAAACACCTATTATTGGGGATCCTTACATTATGAAGGTGGACTGGTGATTTTGTGATGGAATTTTAATGCACATTTTATTAATGAGAATAATGGCAATAGACAAAAATGTTTGACTGCTGTTGCTTTTTAAGTTTCTACATGGCTCATAACTTCTTAAACTTCAAGAAGGCTTATAATTAAAATAGACCAAAACAACCCACCCTGTCCTGTTTATACTTAGTTTTTGTTCTTTGGAATTACTTTGCAGACAAACATATGACCTTAGGAGATAATTTAAAAGAACTTGGAAGAGCACTGGCTGGAATAGGAGAAACTAATTCAGAAAGAAGTGGTGACTTGAATTTCTTCAGCATTGATCAAGCCAAAGCAGTCATTGATTACTTGAATATCAGGTATTTATTTCTACAAGGTCTGTTATTTCTTATTTGAATAATTTAATGTGGCAGGAAATCAGCTGATAAGTTGAAGTTATTTAATTGGACATGTTCATAGTGTGCCAACATACTGCACACACTAAAACATTAAAGAGAAGAGAGAATATGCAAGTAGCAGTAAAGATCTGGCTTCAGATATCAAAGCCCAGGAAATAAATTTAGACTGGAAGTTTATCAAAATGTAAGACTATGCTGAAAAATCTTCCTTGTGGGTTTTGTTTTGGGTGATAAGAGGAAAAGGGGGAGCATGGTGTATAAAAAATACTTTTGGTTTGCTTTTAAAACATTCTAACAAAATCCTAGGTCTTGTCTGTAGCTTTAACTATTTGTCTGACCTTGACAGCTGTAGTGGACATCTTAAGTGGTTTGAAGTTATGTACTTTACAGAATTAAGGCTATGGTCATAGATGAGTCATAAAAGTGTTGCATTTTGAAGTTAGCAAAAGTTCAGTATCTACATGAAAAGGTTTTGTGACAGGTCTCAGAAGTTTTTTGTGACAGAGACACAGAAAGAGATACAAACAGCAGTCATTCAGTTATTTATCTGAGAAAAAAATTGAGGGTTTGATAGCAGCCCATCACACCTCCCCATGTAAAGTCTTAACTGTACAGTAACATATATTAGGCGTTTCTCCACTGAAATGGCACCGTTAAGACAGTAGCTATACTCATATACCACTGTTTCCAGTACATGATGGACAGAATGGTTCTCAAGCAGTTGTATCACCCATGAATGTTGGGGGCAAGGAGATGGAAAATGGAAAAGGTGTTACTCTAACATATGCTTGTACGCTGAACTACATCTGTAGCCCTTCAGCCCGTTTTCTGACCTGAATGGTGGTTAGAGGGAGAGATTTTGTGGCAGATGGGCATAAAAAGTGAGTAAGGACATGACTGACCCATACATAGACTTGTTAGGAATTTTCTGACTGTTCTTTTGGTAGGAAAGGTTTAACACATCAAAGAGGTGTTTTTAAAGTGTTTTGCTGTATGCAGAAAAGTATTTCCTCTTGAAGACAGACAAAAATACTAGGATATCGATAGCCTTTCAGTTTAGGGTACCTGGATTCAAACTGGGGATTTAAACCCATCACAGACAGATTTCTCTTACAATTGGGCTATAATGTTTGTTTCTTTCTCCTGCTCTCTGATTTTTGTCTTTTGTTTCTTTTTCATGGAAAATATAAAAAAAACTTCAGGTTCTTCCCATATGAAATGGAACATCTCTTCAAATCTCAAATTTCTGTAGTCAGGGCAAACCAATGTCCTGCCAAGTACTAGCCCTAAACTAGAAGGAAACTTGGCATTTAAGATGTCTCACTCAACTTCTTTTACTTATCCTTTCTTGTGCCTTTTGTATAGTTATTTGGAACATTTTTTTTTTTTTCCAAATAGCATGTCTATAGTTCTTGTGCAAATTAGCCATTGAGAGATATCTTATCCATGAAGTAATTCCTTCACAGACACAAGGATTAGGTTCTCCATCCTACTACCACCAAAGTATTAACTGGGCAGGAATACAATCAAGCCACAAGACTTTTGCAGCAAAATGGTATTTTGGCCAGCAAATATGTGGTTGTATGTTCAAACTGCTCAATTTATTACAAGTATGTGCTGTGGCAAGGTCATAGATATATACAGGTACACTGAAAAGTGTCATATATGTCCAGTTCATACAAAATCCGTTATTTCAGTCATTTGGATATTTTTTTCAAAATAAGAACCTAATCACCACACTTGTGTGAGTGTATTTTGAACTTTATGAACTCAGAAATAGGTTGACTGAGTTTTATTAGAATTCAGATTAATGTATTACTTCAACATTATTTCTTGTTCTTCACTTTTTTTGTTTAATTTTAAATGATAGGCCGATCGCTTTTTTTTCTACTCAAGATAGTATGACATGTTTTAGTTCAGATCACATTTTTACAGATGAGCTATAAACCCATGAGATTTATAATGTAAATGGGGACAAATTCTTAACCACATTGGCACAAACTGTGCAGCAACTATAATGACACCTTCAGGTTTCGTGGAAGGTGACAGTTATCATCTTTTTATCCTGTCTCCTTGGGCAAACACACATCAGCATAGCTCCTGACATTTTGTTTCAGGAAGCAGTGGAGCTAGGGAAATATGTCATTGTTAATCACCTTCAGATTCTCATATGACATCATAAGAGGTTCTATTCTTAACAATCTTACTTGCATGAGTAAAATTATTTTTGTGTAATTGCTAAAAATTGGTATGGAATTTTTTAATTGTTCACAACAGATACAAACAAAAAGCCATTTTATATAGTGCCTGATAGAAGAAAGAAATACACTGTTGTTTCAAAATAAGTACTGATGTATTGTTTACACAATTTTAAAGAACATTACATGGAGGAATTCTTTCTCTGATATAGGATTAAGGATGCCAGGTTGCACTGAATTCTATTTAAAGATAAATAAATAAATAAACAAAATTCAGAAATGCCAAAACTAATGACATATTTTTGGGAATATTATATATTATCTGTACCTGTAATGTAGTCCATAAAGAATATCATAACGCATTTTAGAGGGGAAGGGGAAGAGCTGATTTTTCAGGTGCTGTAAATCTGGCTCCTTTCCAAGGCACTGGAATAAATAGAAGAAAAGAGTTTAAAATGTTAAGTCCTGCCAGTGCAGCTTGAAAATTATATATCTTATTTCTTCCATGTCTGTGATGTTCATAAAATAAAAGACAAAAAATTTTTTACCAAACGATAGGTGTGTATGTGAGGGGACGTGTATTTTCATAAGTGGACATGAGTAATTTCCAGGTTAAGTCCTGAAGTCTGCTTAAATATAATTCCTGCGTCTCCACTGGAGTATGGCAGGAATTCTTTGGTGACGTACTGCATTAAAAATGTACTGCAAATGAAATGGCAAATACTGTAACCATTTAATTAATTGCCTATATGCTTTGGGTTTGGGGGAAGGGAACTTGTAGTTTATGGTAGCCAAATTTCTTATGCGAGTTGGTAAACAAATTTGCTTTCTAACTAGTGGTAATTGAATGACTGAATTACATGTAACTGCAGAATAAAACTTTTATATGGCACTTAAAGAGCCAAATGTTCAGTGAGGCTGCCACAATGCTTCTCACCAAATTAGGAAATACATCTGTACATATGTGCAAAAACATCTGCACTCATTTGGGTAAAAATGTATTTGAAAGTTTCACAGATGCACTTGACTAACTGCTGGAAGATGTACTATTGTCTTGTAAGAGAGGCATGCTCTGCCACCATTTTATTCTCCTAATTCCGAGCTGCTTTCATGCTGTGGAAAAACCACTGCTGTACATTAGTTGGAGCTTCAGCACGGCTGAAATTAGAGCAAATCATCCCTGGTCTGCAGTATTTCGTGGAACCTCTGGTACTGTGGCAGTGGCCCGGGCAGTGTGTGAGTACTGCTGGCGATTCAGGGAAGGACAGTCAGCTCAAATCGTACGTGCCGAGCATCAGCTCCCACAGCTGGCTTCCCGGTTACCTCCCAAAGCCGGGACTGTATTTTGGACACCTACGTCTCACTGCAGCAGCCTCTGGCTTTGCAGGCAGCTGGCTGGCTGAGCCCTTCTGCCGGCCGTGCCGGGATGTGGGGCTGCCGGCTGGGGGAAAAGCCTCAGCGCCGTGGGGCAGCCAGCCAGGGTGGCACCTGCCGGGGCCGGCTCCCTGAGAGCCCCGCAGAGCTGCCAATGCTGGGCTGCGTGGCCAGGCACTGGTACGGTGAACGTGCTTTCATAGCATTAGCATGATACCCTGCAGCTAGTAGCAAGGTCTTTACTGTTAGCTAGGTAATTGTGTATGTTGGGTGTAGTAGTTACTTTCACAGACCCATAGAAAAACCGAGGTTATAAGGGACTTCTGGAGGCCACCTGCCTTCACGCAGCAGGCCTCTGTTCCAGATGTGGCCTTGCAAGTGCCAGGAAAAGAGGCATTGCTGTCCTGGTTGATGGCTCTCTTAAGAAAAGAACCTGTGTCCTGTCCTTAGATGGAAACCGCATGAACCAGTTACAGATGTTCCCTGCAAATATTGCTGTATCTTCCATGGGTACATCAGGCAGGAGTGCGATAAACTCCTGGAATCATTCTTCAACCCGGACTTGCTATGAAATCACAGAGCTGTGTTTTAAATCATATATCAAAACGACATGACAGAAGCCAGAAGTTCTGTATCATGATTTTAAGAGAACAAGTAATTGTAACAGATGGACTGTGACAAACCAAACCTTTGATTAAACAAATGCCATATCATTGATCATTAGGAAAGGGAACAAGGAAAATTATTTGAAACATGTGAAAAGGAAAGCCATATATGTTTTAAGGAAGATATATATTTTAGGCCATTGAGAAAGTCTACTTAAAGCTACTTTTGTTGTAATAAACAAAACTCCAGTGTGTCAATCTAGTTTTTTAGTTTTTCTTTGAGGAAATACTACACTGATTTTGAAACATGACCTTGAGAGAATAAATGCTTTCATTCTTTATTGTTTTGGTGTTCCAAGATCAAACTTGCTCCCTGGACTGGCATACCATCCCAGAATCTGAAAGCTGATTTGGCTTTGTTTCCTCCTAGTCCCCTACTGCTGATATTAAAGGCATAAGTATCCTGGTGATAAGTGTTTCAGGAATTACTTTTTTCGGAGTAGAACTTTGGTCAGAGTTCAGTTTCATAAGGACAAAGTGGTGGTATTTTTAAGTATCATACTCTCTTTTCTACAGCCTCTGATAGTAAATCCTGTAAATTAAATATTCCACATGTTGTACCTGAAGTCAAACAACGGTTTCTTTTTAAAATTCGGAGTATTACCATGCTGGAGAGTAACAGTTTAACAGAATTTTTAATGTTGTTACCTTTCCAAAGATTTACAGCTGTAATAGTACTGTATTCTCTTGTTTTCCAGCTTATTTAAACACTATAAACTATATGAATACCTCTTCCACAGTCATAGAGAAGAACTTGTGATAAGTAACGAGGTAAGACATTTATATAGATGGAACTCATTATGCAGAGTTATTTAATGAGTGCACCGTGGCATATGTTTTGTATTGCTCAAAGCAACTACATGTCAACATTACTGCATTACTAACATAAAATGGCTGATTAAAGAGCACAAGTTAGATGTTTTGATCCTCATATTCAAAATTAATTTTGGATTTCAAAAAAGCATAAATGCATTGCTTGGTTAAGATGTTAGTTGTGTTAAATAGGGAATACTTTTGTGTATGTATTTATAAGCTGTTGCATGTAATTTGAATTAGAAATGCAGGAGTGTGACTCTATTTTAAAATCAGCAATCAAAATCAGGAAAGGTTATGTACCAAGCCTAGTCTGACCACAGTCCTAATTTTTATGTATGCATGTGTATGTACAGGGTTTTGTTTCTACTGTAGGCACCGACAGTTAATGATACTGACTATAAAGAAACAAGCTATCTAGAAATTCAGTCTTTTGAAAGCTTTCAGTTAATAATACTGAATTGGCTTGACTGTAAACTTTGTCATGTATTCTAACTTCTATGTGAAAAAATACATAGGAAAATGCATTGATGCAGGATGAGGCCTTTAATCAAATGGACAGATTCAGTCCATCAAATAAACCTTCTTTTAGCCTGACTGTGCATTTTGAGGATATATGTTCCAATACATTGAAAAGGATTTACATTTATAATTTATATTAGGAGACAACTGGTTGCTTAGAGAGACGTGGTAGTGGAATTTTTTGATGGCACTTATATTTTAGCTTATCAGTACACAGTAAAGTTAAAATTAACGCACTGGAAAGTTTTCTTTACACTTTAAGCTGGTGGTTTGACTCTGTAAATGATGTGGGATAATTTCTTTCCATGTTGCTTTTGAACAGCCATATTATAAAAAAGAAGGACTTTTCTTGACATGGATGCAAATATTTGGAAATTATTCCTATCATTTGTAAGTTAAAATTACAACTAGGATGAAATCAGGGACAAAACTGGCATTATGTAAGTATAGCAGGACTTTGGCATTACTGTGTTAGGGTTGATTTTTTTTATATTAGCTAATCAGATCAATGGCTGGTTAGCACTTTCTAATTGGTAAAATTATTTTTAATGAGGCTTTGATTAAGTAATTTCTTGTGTAAATTTGGGTAATGTATCTTATTAGTTGTAGACTAGCTTAAAAGAAATGTCTTTTGTGTTTTCTTAAAACCCATTTCTGGATGTCTGAGATCAGTGTACCTTGTCCCAGCTGCGGAAGAGTGGTTGCTCTGCACAGTCTGTCTGCTGGGGAGCACCACCTCTGCTGAAGGTACCACCTCCACCAGGGAATGGCAGAAATGTGTTTCTGTGAATTACTTTGGTGGTGATCCATCAAAGGAAGAAGTGCAATCTACAATTATAACTGTCACAAAAACATTGATGACGGTTTTTAGCCATAACTCTTTTATGGCCATTTCTTACCTATGCGCCAGTTCAATTTAATCCATCTGTTTTGTATTCTGAGTTCCATGGCAGAGAGTCTTCAATTTGTTCAACCACACTGCAATGCCCAAGAAAATCAATACTTATATTCCTGTAGAGTTTATTTTGATAGGGTGATACATTGTTTTTCAATAAGTAACAGTTTAGGGCACTGAAGCTACACATACAAATTTATGGCATTATTTGCCCTTGCTTCATGCGTTAAAATGTGATGAGGGGAACCCAACATAGACTTCAAGTTTGTTTGCCACATTTTTTTTATATTTAGAAACGCTTAACCATAAAGGAGAGCGTTACTTTCTACGTTTGCAGTCCCTTAGACGGACAGCTCAAACCCTGGCAAGTCAGTGGGGCTGATGTGGTTTGGTGTGTGTGGCTACGGGAGGAGCACGCCTGGAGTCGTGTGCTCTGCAGTGCATCTACCCAGGGAACAGAAGGGGGTGGGAGATCAGCTGGAAAATCTGCATGCTTGGAAGTACACGGTAAGTCTGTGCTGAAAGGCTGACTGCTGTCTTGCAAAAAAACCCAAACCAAAACCAGCCCATGTAGACATATCGTGGCCCACAGCTGGATGTGATCCTTACTCTAAGCTGAGTGCTGCTAATGTCTAAAAAGTTTTCTTCTAGCTCCAGCAATAAAAGTCTGTTCTTCTGGAATGGGGGACTGTAAATTGTAATGGCCGGTTTTGCCCAAATAACAAGGACCATGGTCTTCCAGGAGCTTAGCTTAATTACAATATTACCTCCTTTTGCAAATGAAGACTTTGGGACAAGTGAGTGGATGACTTGCTTCAGATGAAATGATTTGCTTCGATTGAAATGGCTTGCTTTAGCTCAGTGAGTAAATTTGTGCCCCACGTGTGCTGAAAGTATTACCTACTGAATGAAGGTCCATAAGCCTAATGAGAAGACCTGCTTCTTTGAAAGAGATGCAGCTACAACAAATAAAAGCGGTACTTAGCATTGTAATGGATATCCTTTTAGAGAAACTGCAGTATGTGTTTTCCAGAGAAATCTTATAGCGAAGGATTGTAAACTCATTGGGTTTAATTTTTTCTCTAGCACAGGCAATTATACAGTGTTCTCAATCAGATTTCCTTTTTGATCTTTCACTGCAGTTATTTCCAAATGACCCTGTCATTTCCTGTGTAAAATAAAATCAGATGAGAAAAGGGAAAAGACTCAAAATTGCATTAGATTATGCATACAATATCTGTGGCCCTGCCACTTAACAAAATTTAAGTTACTGAAATGTGGCATGTAATTAGTGGAGCTTCACAGTCTGATTAATATTCTGCGTTTGATGCAGCTATCATAATAGAACCACCTTTGTAAAATACAGACAGTATTTAAGTCTTAAAAAAACTGAAGTAACAAAGGCCTGGCTAATTTGAATATATTGAATATATTTTTACTTTGGCTAAAGTCTTTAAACCAAACTGCCTGAGGTGATCGTATTGCCTAAGAAAAAAAAAAAAAAAAAGGTTAAAACTGAAAGACATGAATGCTTGGTTAGATGATAAAACACACATCATACATCTAACCTACTTTGGCAGTATTTAAAATTTAAAACTTGCCTTTCCAGATATCAGATCCCTTCCTTCTCCTTCATTCCAGATCTACAAAGACCTGTATATTATGTATGCATGAATACCTGTTAGAAAACATGACGATACAAGGAATTACTGAGAAGTGTTAAGATTGCCAAGTAAAGTAGTTGCTTTTTTTATGAGCAGTTCCCCACATTTAGAATGATTACTGAAGAAGCAGTGCTTTAGCTGTTCTGTGGCTAAGATCCAAAATAAAATGCATGTAGTGCTAACACGCCAGAGTTCTTCAGGAATATTGTTGTTAAAGATACTGTTTTTTCCTTTTGCTTGTTCTGGAGGTTTTACTCTCTAGCTGTGATTTAGTACACCTATATTAGCGTGCAATTTCAAAGAAAGCAAAAGGAGTACAGACTAAATCCTGATGTGCAGGGATTCAGTGGAGCAATTCTTATTAACACATGTCAGATTTTATAAGACAGGTTTAAATTGTTAATACATGAATTGTGTAGAAGTTTTTATTCTTTTCTATTTCTGTGTTCAGTTAATTTATTTTGCTTTGATAGGATGATATATTACAGCACATCTTGTGTTTTTTTTTCTCACATTTACAAATTGTACCTTATACTGCAGTTCATGTTTTTGCTGCTCTCTGTTGTGTATTTTTGGATGGAATGAGGCTAAGGTCTTTTGGGATTATGTCTGCTTTGAAACATTTCCTAATAAAAATAATGTGGTTGGTAAATCTAGTTTTATTCCTAGTTGCTTTAGCCAGCCTGATGGAGTAATCTGCTATTTTATGGCCCAGATGACTAGCTAAGTTTGACTTCTTGAAATAGTAGCGTACAATGTAATTTTCTTTAGAGATGTCATAGTGGGTCAGGTTGCAATAAAAATATCGAAGATTAAGTTTAATGGCAGTGCAGATTCAGTGTTATAGCAGTCACTAGATATCATCCTCTGTACTCAGAGTTCCAAAGCAGTTTCCATTAATGCCTTCTTTCCATGTACTCCTTACTTTCTGAAACATTAAGCTTTTGGACTATGTCTGGTCTTTATCCAATTGCGGGTTGTTTTTTTTTTTTTTTGAAAGTTTGAACAAAATCCCTTCTGTGTTTGAATTTAAGTGGGTGGATAGGAAGAATATACTATTTGAAAGCTAATAAAGCTTTTTTTCTGATGGCAAAAGACCTGAAGTCTGGGACTTGACTTTGATATGTAATCCTCATTAGGTGTTGCATATTTAGATTGGTTAATCAATCATTGTTTAAACAAATTTGCTCAATGATTTCTTGAGAGCTGCATTTTAAAGATGCATGAAACCCGAACATTTCCATAAGCATATCAGTTCACAGTAGAGAGACTTATTCCCCAGCTAATGGAGTGCATTCTTTTCAAAGCTTGAAGATTTCAGATATTTGTAATGCTTAAAAACCACTGAGTTGATTTTCTCTGGCTTTGTTTTGTAAACATCACCATGGCAAAGACATCAAGATTACTTTGAAAGAAATAAGAGCATAGGACTGGAAGGGACCTCTTCAACTGTCGGCTCTAGTGCCACTTTCTCATAGCAAAACATACTTAATCCTTTTCAGAAACTTGTCAAACTCCATTTTAAAAAGTTAACTTTTTTGTCTTTGCTCTTCCAGTTAGAAAGCTGCCCTGATGCCTGGTTTCAGTAATGGTTATAAAACTTATAGTTTCCAGTCTAAGTGTATCCATGACAAGCTTACGTGCATTTGTCCTCGTTCCAGTTGTGCCAGTATTGACCTTTAGTTCTTGTTCCATCCCCAGTGTTTATTTTTCTAGTGTATAAAGAGACAGCAATCTTATTGTCAGCCTTCATTTAGCTAAACTAGAAAAGCCAGCCTTCTCTAATCTTTTCTTTTAAGGTAGCCTTTTGATACATGCATTCTTACATATGCGCCAGCCTCTAGTCATCCTGTTGGCCTTCTTCTATAGTAATTCCA